TAGTTCGTGAAAATATTTGCCACCCAAGCAGGGTCGGACCTGGCGAGTCCCTAAGCTACATTAAGCTTGGAGGCTTTTGAAAAATGTGAAAATAAGGGCCTTGGAAGTCGGTGATATCGTTTAGTCAGTAACACAAACAAAAGAATGACTCATATAAATGTAATACACAATAATTCTAAAAAGTCCTCAGAGCTCTGCGGTTCCCCGAAAAGCAAGGCAGTAAACGATAGCTCATTCAGTTTATGCCGAATCCGTCCCTGCGTCAAAAAAAAAAAGAAAAAAAGAAGGAAATCAGTGTCAGATGAGGCGTAGAACAAGACACACCATTCTGTCATTCAATCTTGACTTTGAACATGTTTCCTCAACTTGGCCTCGTCTTATCGCTAACCTAAATGTTTCTTTTTTTTTTTTTTCTCCGAACATTCGATTATTTGTTGACATGAATCAGCTCTCGAAGGCAGTATCAGGAAGTCTTTACCTCGCATTAATTTTTTATCAGTGGCTATCCTTATCGGCTGGATTTTCTCCGAGATAAAGGATATTGATTTATTTCCGTTGAAAAGTCTTAGTTCATTTTTTTTGTTTCTGGAGAGATTCTCATTGTTTTTTTTTATGTTTGTTTACACGAGGGTGTCCCATTTTCTCTCATTCTAAGCAAGTTTCGTTCCCTTTAGGTTATTAAAGAAAAAGAAAGAAAGAAAAGAAAAAAAAGAGATAAACATCAACAAATAAAAAGACCAATAAATGAAAAAAAAAAAATCCATCGTTCTCAGTTTTATCTCACTCTTGAGTAATTAAATAATAAACAGGAAGTATATAAGAGGAACCCGGATACAATATAACAACCGCGTATCGCCCAAAATCCTCCTGGCGTGTTTACAAGAGCGTCCGAAGATATAATATCACCAGGAAGAAAAAGGAGAATGATAAAGCAGGGAGCACCAACAAGAACATATAGGAAGGAAAAAAAAAAACGGGAGGGGGGGGGGGAAATAGGAGGAAAATCGTTCATGTAATCTGACAACCGTTTTTAACTCGACAAGTGCAAATGATGTCCATCGCTATTAAATTATTTCCCAATACTTTTGTTTTTTTTTACTGCCAGGACTAATGCTACTACTATCATCATTATCATCATTATTGTGTTATCATTACTATTATTATTATTATCAATATTACGATTATTATTATTATTATTATCAATATTACGATTATTATTATCATTATCAATATTACGATTATTATTATTATTATCAATATTACGATTATCATTATTATTATCAATATTACGATTATTATTATCATTATCAATATTACGATTATTATTATTATTATCAATATTACGATTATTATTATTATTATTATTATCAATATTACGATTATTATTATCATTATCAATATTACGATTATTATTATTATTATCAATATTACGATTATCATTATTATTATCAATATTACGATTATTATTATCATTATCATCATAATGAACATCATCATCGCCATCATTATCATTGTTAATTAAGAGCACCAAAATCTTTATTGCATGACACAACGTAATACTTGTATAATACTATAAAAAAACACAAGGTAGCGGCCTAAATACACAAAATAATACGCCTGTCTACACATACCTGAAATTGATATCTGTAACAGCATCTTTCAAAATATATATATTTTTTTCATCACGAACCCTTTGGTGTCTAGTACTACTAAAGTTTTTTTTTGCGAGGATGAATTTTCTTATTCCGCATGAGATATAGAAATTATTATTTAGTATCATTATTAATGGTATTATCATTACCATTATTAATATAGCTGTTATCATTATTATCATTATTATCATAGTTATTATTCTTATTATTACTATTATCATCATTATTATTATTATTGTTATTATTATTGCTATTGATATCATAATTTTGTTATCATTGTTATTTTTATTATCATTATTCTTAGCATTAATAATAATATTATTGTTGTTATCATTATTTTTTTTATTATTAGCAATATCCTTATTATAAATCTACGATCATTATTATTAGCATTATCATTATTATCACCATCAGTAATATTACTACTACTACTGTTATTATAGATATCATTATCATTATCAGCATTATTATTACTATAATAACAATAATGATAATAATTAATATTATTGTTACTATTATCCTTATTATTATTATCGTCATTGCTGCTATTATTATTTTTTATCATTGTTATTATCATTATTACTCACAGTTATTATCATTATCAGTGTTACATTTATCATTAATGTCATTGTTATTATTATCATTATCATTGATATTGATATTTTATCATCATTTTCATTATTATTGTCATCATCACCATCATCATTATCATGAAAGTCACCATCACAATTCTTATCATCATCATTGCTATAATAATAATAACAATCACTATTAAGTTATTGCTATTTTGAAACGACGTCTTCATCAAGCCCTCCTTAGCAAGCCCATGTCGAATGCAAATAAAGGGGCTGGCAAGTGGCTGAGCGACAAGGCTGACGAGGTCCGGGGTGAAGAAATTGAAGAAAATTAAGAAATTCCAAAAGAGGTCTGCGGTCCCACATCCTCAGCACCATGCCCCCCCCCCCCTCCTCAGCGCAGACGGGAAGACGCTGACCAGTGACAAGGACAAGATTCTCGAACGGTGGGCTGAGCAATCTGACAGCGTCCTGAATCCCCCTTCCCCTACAAACACTGAAGCCATCGAGCGCCTCCCATAAGAACCCATCAACGAGGCACTGGACGACCCACCAACTAGGCTACAGACCCGGAAAGCAATCACACTCCTTTCCAACGGCTTTCCAGCGGCAAAGCTCCTGGCTCAGACTCCATTCCAGCTGAGGTCTACAAGGAAGGTAGCACAACGCTGACCAAGAAGCTCCATCAACCTTCCCTTCACACATATGGGAAGAGGAGGCGATCTCCCTGGTCTTCAGAGATGC